TAGGGACTTGTGCTTATAATTAATGTACACATTAAGTGCTACAAAAATGATTTTCATGAAATTAAATATGTGGGAGGTAACAGATGTAAAAAAAAAAATATATTTTTACCTAAAAAAAAAAACAAAAAAAAAAATTTATAAAATTTAATTCATTAAAATCTGACATCTGATTTTTGCAAGAATTTTCAAAACAATTTGAGCATCTTTTTGCAGTTGAAAAAACTGAAAAAACATGCTCAAATTTCCCATACTAATTTATGATTACCTGATGAGGCAAGAAAAACAATTTTTAACCAGAATTTCAAATATTCTAAAAAGGATTAAAAAGTATAATTTAATAATTAAAAAAAATCTTTTGGTCTTTCCTCTTAATAATAACAAAGATTTTGATGATAAATCCTTGTTTTTATTAAGTTTGGGCCATTTTTTTTTTTTTTTTTTTTTTTCATCATGTATGCTCATTTTTAGCAAATCTTTGGAAGTATGTATATAAAATGGACACAAACAACTATAGATAAACAACTCCTTCCATCTGTCTATCTTTGTGCATGTTTTGGCATTTCATACTGCTTATGATTATTCAGAATGGAGCCTTGTCACTCTCATTTGCATTTGACTGGCTCTTGCAAGAAAGTATATCAGAATTTTCTAGCATCTTTCAGTGCCATCTGATTGTCAGCTGACTTGGAGGTTTTTGTTCTTATTCTTGGCACTGACAAAATAGCTATTAAATGTTGCATCTTATTTTGTATATTTGAATTGATATTGGGAAACCTCTAGCTAATATTTTACAAATATACAGTGTTGAAAGACTTGCCTAAGTGTGCATAATGCTATAAATATACTTGGACTGTATTTACCAATGTGTTTAGAAGAATGTCGTTTGCTTGAAATGTTGTTCTTCATGTTGGCTACAATTATATAATCTCTGGCTGCCTTTAGGTATATTTGGTCTTGTACTGGGAATTTTGATCTGTGGGAGGTAGATTGTTCTTAGAGTTAACTAAGATCTTGTGTCTAGCTAATTTGTTGTGATATTGTTTGTCTCTTGTATTTAAAACAAAGTAGATGACCTTTTATCTTTACCTGTTGTATCATTTTGTGGTGAAATGTCCTTTAACATGGATAATGAGAACAACCTACCAATGTGGATTAAGTAAAGACTTCTATTTGAAACTTCAACAAGTTTGCCAATTATAACAGATATATGAAGAGGTTTGGAGGGCAGAATGGTGGAATCATTGTATTGATACAACTAAGATAAGGAACTAATCTAAATTGGTGTATAATAATAATTCCTCATTTAAAAAAAAATGGACAAAAAAAAATGAAGTATTGTCATTATTTCATGAATCGGATAGCTTTTCTCATTGATTGTTATATTTTATCTTTGTGCTTTTTAGTTGTATATTTCATAATTTGAGTTCTGTTCAATTTATTTTATTTCTTTGTTGTGGTTAATTGACAAAAAGCAAAGGACAATATACAAAGATTATATGATATAACCTAGATGTGAAGATGAGACAAGTCATCAGCTGAAATGAATTGTAACCATTAAACATGAAGATTTTCACTTGAATAATTCAAATATTAAAGAAACAACAAACCTAAGCAATTACATGAAAACAGTCATTCAATTTAATAACTACATTTATAGTGACAGTTTTGACTAGAGGACAGAAAATAATATACATAGCTATCAACTGCATTTGTACTTACCCATACCCTGTCTACATATACTAATTGTTGCCCACTGACTTCTGCTATTCCCTACCCTGGTTTTAGTTATTTCTTGTTAAATATTTCTAGTAAAAGGAAAAACTGAATTTTGCAATTTCTGGCCCAAAATTTACTTTAGTAACTTTCTACACTCACTATTGTTTATTGAAAAATCACCAACATGAAGGATTGTCAGTGGTCAGGAATTAATACAAGTATTACCAACAGAATATTGTACAATTTAAATGCTTCCTGATAATTTTGCTACAGAATACATAGAAAATGAGGAAGAAAGGGATTGTCAATGGTCATGTAAGAGAATAAGGATATTCTATGTATAATTATAATTTATTGGAGTTTTATTTTTATTTTTTTTTGTCCTATGAAATGACTATTCTTATTGTTTTTTTTTTTCATTTCAGTCTCCATTTTATAATGACGTGAAATAATGAAAAAAGGTTTTCTGATGCCTGACGAAATCTAATTTTGCAATGTCAATAAAACCTCAATCTAATTCACCAATTCCTCAAACTCTGCACCCAGCAGAGCCTGTAAGAACCAGCCGGTTTCCACTGAGGAGGAAAACTGTCTCCAAACCTCCAGCATTCAAAATTGATTCATCTGTAAAGGTTGAAGAAAGTTGTCCTGAAGGAAGCCTAGCATTTTTACGACGGTACGGAAAAACTTATTCTCCATATGGCAACCTCACACCTGTCATGCGCAAATTTGGTAAAACTTACTCATCCCGGGGTAATTTAAAACTTAGTGGTTCTTCATCGAATCAGTCTTCTCAAAGCCAATCTGATGAGCAAAAGGTTAGCTATAATGAAACTGTTGTTGTAGATAATGCACCCTCGAGTCAAACTTTAATGCCAAATTCAAAATTCTATACTTTGAAGAAAGTTACTGGAAAAAATGATATGACTTACTCAAAGAAGGTCATAATTAAAAATCATGCCTCCATGTTAGGAAGTGGCTCCAGGGAACGGGATATCATTGAACTAGCCACTCGAAACCTCAAATTGCCATGTAACAAATCTACAAAGAAAATGATTGTGTTGAATAACAGCAGTAGTGGCAAGCCAGTGGTCACTCTTTATTTGGTACCAAATAGTGAAGCAACCACTTCTACTGTTAGTAATGACAGCAGTCGAGATGTCACGAGTGCTGCCACTTCTGCTGTTGATGGGAAAGCATCTTCAAAATATCAGCCTGTTTTAGTGGACAAGAACTGTGCAACTAGTGGCTCCATAATTTTGTTGGATCAAACCAACACTGATTCTTTAGGTATTATGTACAAAGATCCCGTTTCCGAGAGGAATGATACTCTGTCTGCTTCTGCCAGCAAAGAAGACCCTCAGAGAAATACTGTTGCAAATAAAATATCTGGTTTGGATACAGTGGCTCTTCAGTCAGAGAAAAGTATATTAGACGCACCCAAGCAATTGAAACAGAAAGATATTTTGCCTGTTTCTGTTACTAGAGAAGAGATTCACTCAGATGCCATGTCTTATTCAGATACACTTGATGTTCAGCCACAAAATAATGTATTAAATGCACTTAAGTCCATAGACAGCTCAAATAATGGGACAAAAGAATATTTACTTCCTGCTAAGAAAAGTCCAATCTCAGATATTTCAAGCAATGCACCAAAGCTTTTGGAATCGAAGAAAAAAGTGAAAGATATACAAAAAGAACTTTCTCCATTTATGAAATCTGATAGCGTACCTATTGAAATAGATAAAAACTTAGCCCATGCAATCAAAGACATTTCTGCAGAATCAGATGAGCATTCTTTGGAATTGGAAAATTCAAATAGTTGCTCAAAACTAATCATTTCAGATGACAAGAAATTAACATCAAAGCAAAAAGATAATTGTGTAAAATGGAGTCATTCACATTGTCCTCAAAAGAAGAAATTGAAAGACAAATCTTTTGAAAATGATGCCGTTGTTAAGCAGAAGAAAAAGAAGGAAAAAGAGAAGCAAGTGATAAAGAAGATTAAAAAGCTGACATTAAAACCTGTTCAAAAAGATCCTCCTGGTTTAGAAGACTTAAACTTTGATTCTTCTCCTGTTGATAATAAAAATGCCAAGAAAATGAACAAGAAAAAAAAAATTTCAGAACAGAAGAAAGTGTCCAAGAAAGAGAGACTTTTGAATTCTAAGAAAAAAGGGAAAATGTCTAATTTAAAGAAACTGAATAAAAAATCTTCTAAAAAGAAAGCTAAAATCTCAACTCTGTTTCTTAGTAATGTTAGAAAAGATGTTGATAAAGTAAAAAGTTTGTCTTTACCAAAATTAGAAAAATCTGTGCCTCTTGTGGCAAATGAAGAACAGTCTGAAAGGGAAGAGTCAGAGACAGTTGCTTTTGATGGCATGCCTGTTTTAGAAGATGCCACCAAGATGGTACCTCTGCCTTGTGATGATTTCCAAACAATGCCTGTATTACAAGAATCAGTAAAACCTTGTACCATTACAACAGAATCTTACACATTAGAAAAATCTGGCAAGTTACTGGGTCTAGATTCTGCTGAAAACATTAAGACATCTTTACCAAATTTCCAATCTCAGGATTTGTTGACTAACTCTACCAAGATTTCCCAATCTTTCATTACTCAGCAAAATAATCCGGTTCCATTATATGATACCGTGAAAGACCTTGGTCACTTTGACTCTAGTAATACTCATAATATTGATCTTGCACACTTAAAACCACTTACGAATGTTAGTGCTACTAAAAGTGACTGTGGTACTAATTTCTTTCTGTCACTTCTTGCTAGTGACATTGAAACTGAAGGTAAAGTTTCACAAGAGCTGCACTTATCAGAACCTCAGGCAAACAAACCATCATTGTTGTTAAACAGGGAATATGCCATGGAATCTAAGATGGCTGAATGTGATGCATTATCAGGGTTAAGCTCAGTTGATGAAGCAAATTGTGAAAAGCTAACCTCATCACTGGAATATGGACCATCTGCTGTGATGTGTGTGACAGAAAATACTGACACTGATGTGACTAAATTAAATATAATGCGAAAGAAGAAAATGGAGGCATTGAAATTGTCACCTGAAAGACAAAAAGGGAAGACCGCATTGTCAGAATTGTCAATTGAAGCCAAAAAAAGGAAGCTCAAGTTAGAGAAAAATTCAACTGATGGCAATGTAGGTAAACGTAAATTATCAACTGATGCTCAAGTAGACAAGCCTAATTTGTCAACCGGCACACAAGCAGGGAAGCCTAAGTTGCCAACCGACCCGCCAGCAGGCAAGCCCTAAGTTATGCTTAACCGACCGCCAGCAGGCAAGCCAAAAGTTGTAACCGACCGCCAACAGGCAAGCCAAAAGTTAACCGACCACGCCAGCAGGCAAGCCAAAGTGCCATTGCTAACCGACCGCCAGCGGCAAGCCAAAGTTGCCAACGACCCGAGCAGCAAGCCAAGTTGCCAGCAGGCAAGCCAAAGTTGTAACCGACCCGCCAGCCGGGCAAGCCAAAGCAACCGACCGCATTTGCAAGCCAAAGTTGCCAACCGACCGCCAGCAGGCAAGCCAAAGTTGGACCGCCACCGGCAACCAAAAGTTATAACCGACCCGCCAGCAGGCCGAATTAAACGAAACCGACAAGCCAAAAGGCAAACCGACCACCGACCGCAGGCAAGCCAAAGTTGCCAACCGACCCGCCAGCAGGCAAGCCAAAGTTGCCAACCGACCCGCCAGCAGGCAAGCCAAAGTTGCCAACCGACCCGCCAGCAGGCAAGCCAAAGTTGCCAACCGACCCGCCAGCAGGCAAGCCAAAAGTTGCCAACCGACCGTCAGCAGAACAAGCCAAAGTTATAACCGACCATCAGCAAGCAAGCCAGTTGCCAACCGACCACCAGCAGGCAAGCCAAAGTTGCCAACGACCACGCCAGCAGGCAAGCCAAAGTTATAACCGACCGCTTGTAGGCAAGCCAAAGTTGCAACCCAAACCCGCCAACAGGCAAGCCAGAGTTACCGACCCGCCAGCAGGCAAGCCAAAGTTGCCAACCGACCCGCCAGCAGGCAAGCCTAAGTTGCCAACCGACAAACCTGTAGACAAGCTTAAATTGTCAAGCGAGACCCATGCAGGGAAGCCAAAATTGCCAAGCGAGCGGTATGCAGTCAAGCCCTAAATCAAAAGAGATCAAGCAGGCTCACCTAAACTGTCAACAGAGCCCCATGCAGGAAAGCCTAAAGTGTCTATTGATGTCCTAGTCTGCAAGCCTACACCTTCACCGGACGCCCTTGTGTGCAAGCCTACACCTTCACCGGACACCCAAGTGTGCAAGCCTATACCGTCACCAGACACCAACATTGGAAAG